ACGGAGGATATCTTTTATAAAGCAACCGCTCTAAGTTCATTGAATATCAGGGAAATATTCTTTGGTATAACAACTGCACTAATCAACTTTCAACACTTTACCTTTTTGGAGACAAAAGATGTTATCAACGAATCCTTATATTTTAAAAAAAGTACATTTTGTAGATACACTATCACGACGCACATATTTTTGGGAGACAACTGTCCAGTGTAGATTGGAAAATAGCCTCAACGAAGTACAGCTTAATCCAATTGAAGATAAATATTATCTTCTCACCCCATATCCAAAGACAAACAATCGACCAAAATTTACGAAAACTAGATTTTCCGCAGACTTCTCCGATAAAATTAGACAAAACTATAGCGGATACTTTAAAGATATTAAAAACTATAAATGTCTTAACGTTGAAAAATACTGTCCACTTGATATTTCATCGATAAAAAATTTAGTTTTTTGAACATCAAAAACGAACTCCCAGCTTTTCTAGGATGGCGATACTATAAATTAGAAAGATTCACTATGTTATACGCAATGTTTAATTCTATAGATTTTCTTTTTTCACTACTAAAGGGACTCTAAAAAGCATGCGCAAAACATACACAAGTCAAAAGACAAGCAAGCGTTGCACGCATTTGTTTAGCAGGATTTTTTTGAAGTATTTTTCACCTCAATTAAAAAATCCTCATAGACGCTCAGATTACCGAATATAACAAAAAGCTAACTACACAACCAACAAACACATACGAAACTATAGGAATACAATATTAACCACTGAACAAACCTACCTCTCAAGATAGTAATTTTCTACGAAGTGCAATAAATCGCATAAGACTCCATCAACCGAATATTGATGACACATATGAACAAATTGTAGAACAACCACACACAATAAATTTCAGTTCTCAAAACAATCATCTTTTTAGCCCACGATGAGCCGAAAGAGTGCATCCCTCGATCGTTCCCTTTTCTATCCATCGAACCTGCAACGCCACTCCTCCCGCATTTCTTTCTCAGATCTCAGCTTTTCTCCCCTACTCAGTTTTTCTTCTTACTCACCGTGCATGGACTTCGACGATTCAAACCAAACAGTTTTTAACACCATATCTAATTTTAATTTTCTTGATGTAGAAACTCCCGACGAACTCCAGTCTCCCAATTCAGCCCTAAAAATTTTTCCTAACCACCTTTCCAACTTATTGTTCCCCGCTTCCTATTGAAATATATCCTTCCCCTCTTCATGCACTGACGCTACACCAATCCTTTCATTTTTGTCAATTAACGAACCCGACGCATCCAGCCTCATCACAGACAATCAATTTGAGTATGAACTAGATAATTTTATATTTCAACAACAACACCTCCATAATACAAATGCCGCATTACCAATTCACCAGCTAACCCACTCAGCCTCAACATCCTAATCCTCAATCGCCCACGTTCTTACCGATTGAACTCAACCCTCAACACACTAGGAACCCAGATTTTTTAGTTCGTTGATGAAATTGTGCTAGTTCCCTCATTCTCCTGGATCACCTACTACAATTCCACTAATCCACTGAAACTTTCCTTGAAAAATAACCCCGAAGACACCGAAGTCTGTGATTCCATCATTCACAACTCACCACGGCATTTCACGAAAATCAATTCTCTACCATCAATTTAAACAGAACACTAATTAGGTTCACAGCAGCCCGCGCTAACCGATTTTCAATTAACTATTACGATCATGCTGTCTCTAGATACATGGAAGATACCCCACACGAAGACGATCCAAACACTAATCCCCAAGTAATTGAAATTTTTTTTCTTTACATCAGAATCTATATTCCACCTAGATGGCACTAATAGGAAGTTTGATAAAATAATTGCTTGCGCACTAACAAACAACAAAGCATATGAGCCTTTTTTCAATAAATATAACCTTTTCGCGCTATCATTTAACTTCGTTACACCAAAGGCAAGAGACATTCACTGCTCACTCGAAATAATGCTAGCGTGTACATAAGAAAGATAACCCACACGTCTACATAAAAAAGATTCATATAAAAACATTATATAACCAACCTACCATCCCGTAGCCCTCATCATCTTTTTCTTTTCATTAACTCAAAGTACACATCACCTTATTTCTTAAATTCCGCCTGCCGCATCATATCTACTAACTTGCACGGCATCCTCCGTAATTATGACTCTGTCGGATAGATGTATAAGTTTTGCCCACTGACCAATACATTCCCAATCGACGACGCCCGTTCAGTCATAATTTCTCACTAAAAAATACAGCTCATTGAAATAACCCTACTCGAATATATTCACAATACTAAATTCAATCGCAAGCTTTATAATCTAATTCAAAACATGAACCATGATTTTTCAACGCTTAGCGAAAAAGTAAAATCATCAGAGCGCTTGAACTAATTTGGCTTTTGCTTCGCACTAAAAACGTCATCCGCATGCTTTTTAAGCTTCTAGTAACATCTGCCACAATCAAGACTAACTTTCCTATTGAAGTTTTCCTTAAAACGAATCCTCGTAATTATGAAATTGTCTTATCACTTAGACAAATAAAACAAGACACTCACCAATATTACACGTGTTTTTCATATTTCTTTTTTTAGATTTCACCAGTCATTCATCTAAAAGAATAAAATCTAATTAGAAAATCCGAAGCTCTTTTTTAAATCACAAAATTTTAAAATTTTATTCTAACAAAGGAACTGAATTATCCAAGTGCAGTACAATTATCAACAAATGCAAAAATTAATAAAAGATGTAAAATTCAATAATACGAAGTAGTGAACTGATATTGCAAGTCAATTTAAGACAACTAACATTTTTGTGTAAGCTTTTTTTGTAAACTTCGATTTTTTTTCGTTTACTCGCCCACACTTCACGCACTCTATCCACCAAAATTGAAAAATTTATCCACAAAGAATTGTTCATTAGAAGAAATTCAAGTTTCAACTCTAACTGATAACAACTCTAACTTGTTTTCACAGTTTTTAGTATTTTTCTTAACCCATTTGAAAGGAATGATGAGCAAGCTTAAATTAACCAACGCAGCTTACTAACACAACAAAATCAACCGCAATTATAAGAGAGTCCCATGGTACTGAGACCAGATCAAACGCAGATTCAAACTGGATAAATTACTATTTTGAAACTCACTTTCAAGTTTTATTAAAACCATTTAAAAAACCAAAATGTCAAAAAAAAAACCCAAAACACAACAATCTGTTTTTGATATAAAGGACATAACTAAAAACAAAAAACTGAAAAACACCTAATAAAATGGAACAAAAAGTTGAAAACGAAAAGAGTCTCTGCTCAAAGAGATTGTATAAATTATCCCCCTCTGGCCTAACCCACCAGAAGGACGTCGCTCGAAGTACATGCACCCACCATGTTCTACGACCCCAATCTCGATTTCTCACCGGATTTAAAGCTTGGACACAGCATCGCAGCAAAGGTACTCATTGAAGAAGAACAATGGCCATTTCGATGTGGACTTGATGAGCAACGCTTCAAAATAACCGAAACTAAATAAAACGCTTTTGCGAAAACAACTAATGAAGATCATAATTAAAACTGATCTCACTAACAAGATATGTATTCAATATGCAAGCTAAAAACATTTCTTAGAGCAAAAGGAACAAGCAGCAAAGGGAGATGAAAACTCGACGACAATTTGACTGTGGAATGGCAAATCTATTGGTTTGCTGCCGTAGTCACAACCCTCACCGGATTTAAAGCTTGGACACAACATCGCAGCAAAGGTACTCATTGAAGAAGAACAATGGCCAACTCGATGTGGACTTGACCTACAGATCCTAGTCACTTGTCGCTCGACACATATAATTCAAACTCAATAAATTCTTTCTTTGGCAAGAGAAAATCTTGTATACAAGTCTTGTTAAATGTTTTTTCGCAAAAAAAGCTGCATTCTCATTATTGCAAATTGTTGAACGATGATATCAAGCAACAAAACAAAAAAACTGAAAGCAAACATTGTTAGCTTAATTGAATCAATCTTGTTGGAAATCTACAGAAAAGAGCGTTGCCTAATGCAATGAGTTTATGCATGGTGAACAACATAAATAATGTATGAAGTTTCGTTCTTAGTATTTTGCGTCTTCACATGATGCATCCAGCAATTATAGAACGTAAAAAAATTTTACAATGAAAACATTGAAATTTCCGGTGAATAGAAAGTAGCCGGAAATTCATATGTAATAAAAAAAAACAAGGGTGGCTCTTTTACCTTTCGCGCTACCCTAAAATTACATTAAAATTGTTTGAAAAACGTTCATACTAAAACTCGCATTAAACAATTGTTCCGCAATTCTGTTCACTTGCTGACGCTTGTACGATTTCAAATAAAAGTCGTTTCAAAAAGTTCAATAAAACGTAATTCGAAAAAAAACTCGGAGTGGGAACTAGAAAAGAGTCGCAACAGGTAAGAGCGGTTCATCTAGTGGTTAAATGAGGAGCGTTTTGGCTTTGTTTTGCCGATTTTTGTGCCAAACTTAAGGCCCCCAATTAAGATTATTGGCTGACCCTGGTACAGCGAGGTAGAAAAATGTTTCAAATACGAACGATTTTTGCGCTGTACGTTGTTTTTAAGTTTGTTTTGAAACGATTTGACGTAAGTTGTTACTTTATGGAACCAGTTATGTTCTTGAAAAACGATCCTCATAAATTTTTTTTTAACCAAGCATGATCCATAACTAACACTGATAACTATTTGAAGTGCTGAAACTAAGAGTAATTTGAATATAACTTAGAATACAGTTGTTCTTCTTTGGAACAAGTTCCAGATAACTAACTCGCAAATACCAGTATACACTAGATCTATTGAGACTAGGAGATATAAGAGTAAGATTCAGATCGGTATTAGATTAGGAAGTTGCACGAATCTACCTGGTCGAAAATTAGATAGCGTGACGAACAGACAGTGTACTTTATCTGAAATGACTCTATGAGTGAGCCACCCCGGACATAAACTCATCTAGCCCGCCTTAGAAACTAAAAACACCACCGCTCTTTTCAGTTCCACCCATTGATTTTTACTGAAATTAGAGATCCAAAAGCTTATCTAATATGACCTTGATTATTTAACTTAACATAACGTGTCCGCATGAACGAATGCAAGTTGCCGTATGAGTATTTTTTGAACAACTTTGCATTGTAACTCTACGAGGGGGCTGGGAAACTGGAAAAGAGCCAGCACCGCTTACTCCTAGCGTCATATCCGCCCTTGATGCTTTATAATTGCTTTTATTGATACTCCGAGGCTAGTGTTTTCAGAGTTTTCTCAAAATTCCTTTTAGAATCGTGTCTCTGATCAGATCTTTCCTGACCGGATAGTGACTGATTGGCTGGAGCACTATCCTCTGGGTGATAAAGTAGTCGCAAAACGTATCCACATCTTTTCATTCGTTTCAGGTCTCTCTCCACACTTCTAGACTTCTCTATTTGCCACCCCACCATAGATGATTGACAATGCACATATTGCTTGAAACGTGATTCATGCGCACGTATTAAGAAATCAAGCTTGTTTGCATCGGCATAGAGCTTCTTTTCATCAAAAACGTAACCGTTCTGAGGCGTTGTTATATTTTGTATAATTTGGGAATCAAACGCTTTTCGACTTATTCCAAGTTGGCACTCTTGTTGTCCTGATATGTAAGGAAAAAGTTGGGAATAAGAAGTATTCATCGACACTGCTGGTTCTTTATGCTGCAGGCGAACCATAGGAATAAAATAAAGTACTTCTTTTCTTGTCTTGTCTCGTATGAATGGAGCAATGGAAGACAAACTTTCAGAGGTCAAAAATGAGCAACCATCCAAAACGAGAACCCAATTTGCACCAGACTGGAAAGCTTCCCAAATTCCAATATTTCGAGCTCTGTTCACATTCAAAACTTGTTGTTCTAAAACCTTTGAGTTATTAGTCTTCGGAAAGCTGATAGTTTCGAACCACTCGTCATAAGTAGTGAGCAATGTTTCCAACTCCTCTTGCTTGCTTTTATTGACTATAGAATTGAGAATCCAGAGACGTTTAAAATCGGGTGGTAAAATCTCATGTTGCAGAATAAATCTACTGTTTAGGTATGTTTGGCGATCTCCGTGCAGAGGAGGCAAGTCGTTGCTCAAAATTCGTGCTACGACAACACTTTTCGACATATTGCTCCCCCAGTTGTTCCTTATTCTAATAACGGAAATCCCTTTCGCCAAATTTTTAAAGAAGTCATTGTTTTTGGAGACGCTATAGACAACGAGCCATGGAATGGAGAGAAGTAGAAATGACAATATTTTTCTCTGTCCAATGCGAGCCATCTAAACGGTGAACAATTAGCAGGGTTTTCACCAAGTTACCTTCCGAATAATTATTTTGCTGCACGAGGTGAATTTACTAGAGCCCGCACACTTCCAATATTGAGGACAGGGAATAAAACTTAAAGCAAAGTTTTGGCGCCAATATATACTAACTTTGAGGGGGAGCGCGCGCCAAAAAAAACGCAATTTTTTTGTCAAAATTTTTCAAAAAGTGCCCAAAATAGGGGCAAAACAGTCCTTTGGGAGAGCTCGAAAAATCAATTTGGTCGACCTAAAAAAAAGGTCGTCAAAATTTTCGATTTTTTTTGAAAATCCGCCCCCCCCCCCCTCGAGAAAATCCTAGATCTGCCCCTGTTCACATTGCAGTTGAAAATACCTAAAGACCTTAGACCTAAAAACAAATTTCCTAAGGTTTTCTCGGATCAACCGTACAATTCTCTCCCCCAATCGATTTAGGGCTGAGAAAGTATAGATTTTTTGAAAACTAAATTTATGCATAGATATTTATAAAGAAAAAGGATTTAGAACATTATTTCGTGAAGTTAACAGCATGCAAAGGCAACCCCGCATAAGAAAAATGTATAAACCAATGTTTCCGAAATAATACATTCTTGGAGAAGACATTCTACGGTAGGTCACTTAGGGAGGGGGTGATGAGCGAGATTGTACAGTTGATCCAAATAAAAAAAATTTATTGGTTAATTGGCAACAATTTGAGGAGAAATACCTTTAAGATGCTGTATTGAATTTTACTGATACTGATAAATATTTTCCGTTGTCCGATTGTATTTGGCCAGGAGTAGTTTGGTCGGTTAGAAATTGTCCGAGGGGGGAGGGGTCTCGATGACTCCCGTATTTCAACACAGGCTGAAAAATATTCGTTCATCACCTTATTTATTAAGATAGGGAAAATATTTCCCATATTTTAAGGTGATAGGTTTCAGAGTTTCAGATGGTAAGATGGTAAGTTTCGAGAAAAAAAAATGTTGGCGCCCGAATTCGCCGATACAGCAAGGCTAAAGATCCCAGGTGGGAATGTTTAAAAACTTATGTATGACGATGTGATAGTTTTATTGATGGTAAACTTAAGTTGGTAAGTTTCAGAAAAGATTTAATTTTTTTTGCAGTCAAATTTTCGTATTTGTTTATTACAGCAAAGTACTGGTCGTAAACAAAAAAACTTCTCAGACAAAAGTGTCAAATTTGTAGCAACAGATGTCATCTGCCGTGGTGAGTGAGGACACTGAATTGAGTAATGAAATTTTATATTTTTTTTAAGCGAGGTAGTGGACGTGAACAAAAACTTTTTCAGATAAATATGTTCAATTTGCAGCAACAGATGTTACCCCTCATGGTGAGTGAGGACGCTGGAGTTTGTAAGTAAATTTATTGTTTAGTTATTGGAACGAACTAGTGGACGTAAACAACATTTTTCTCGGGCAAAAAATTCAAATTTGCATCAACAGTTGTTACCCCCCCCTTGTGAGTGAGGACGCTGAACTATATAAACAAATTGAATGTTTGTTTATTCAAGCAAGGTAGTGGACATAAACAAAAAATTTCTAATACAGTTATGTCAAAATTGCAACATCAGATGTTACCACTCACGGTGAGCCAATTACCCTATGCAAAGTTTCTCGAAATATTGATTTTGTTTTTTTGAGCGTTAGAAGTTTTTAGTATAACAGACGTGGTAAGTTTTAGCAACAACAAAGAAAATCTGAAAACTTGCTCAAACTTAAAACTAGAAAATGGTTGCCAGTTGATTTTATTTTTTTTTCAATTTAATTTCTTAGATCATCATCTCCAATCACCATAAAATCTCCAATCACCACAAATTTATTTCAAATATCTTAAGAAGTTTACTCTGACAAAGATTAAAAAAAGATTTTTTCTGTGGTTCTTGAAAATTTCCACAAAATAAACTTTTAAAAAAATTGATGTTGAAGCCAACAAAAATTATCTCGAAAATTCATATTCAGAATCATTGTTAAAATTAATCACATTCAGTTTACTTCGTGCTGTTTTTATCAAACCTACTGCTCCTAGAAGTGACAAATCATCTTTTTCTTCAAACTCTCCTTCATATTCCCGGATATTCTCATCTGGATTTCTACAAATTGTAAGTTTCCATTTTTCAAAAAGAAAACAAATCAAGAATATCCATTACAAATACAAATTTAGAGTTTAAAATTTACAGTTAGATTAAAAAAATACATCCTACAAATTTTTGTTGCAGCGATGTACATACATTCGCACAAAAAATAACTCACTGTGTTCTCACATATAATTACTAATAAAATTCAAAACATTGAAATCATATCATGTTTCCTTTGAACAATGCGCTAGTACTTTTTCTGTAAAGATTAATACTTGAAACGTTTCCTTCCAAAGAATCAAAAAAGTAGTACGTTTTGTCCAATCGAGCAATCACGATTCAGTGTTCTCCTCTATAATTGCTTGGAGCTGAATTAATTATTGCCTAAAAAGTTTTTGTTAGTTGAGTAACTTTATCAGAGGGATAAGACCTCATATACTTGAACTTAAGCTCAGGAATTCTTTCGATAAATTGTAGAAGTGAATATTCATGCATCTTTGCAATTGCTACTTGATTTAATTCGAAAAACAAAAAATTGACAGCTTGGTAATTCAATTTAGAATTAAAAAAGTAAGATTGGATGACTGACACGCATTCAGGTACTGTATCACAAAAGTATTATGTACTGGAGACAAAGGTTTTTGAACACTGGTTCACAGTCTAGCTTGTACAAAATTCTCGGGTTTTCAATTAGGCAACATTCCTTGTCTACTTTAGGTCTGACGAAAAACAAAATATATAGTACAGATACAAAAACCAGGAAAAAAATCTCAATATAGCAACAAATTTTCTATAGGACCCTGAAATTTCATAAAAACTAAACATTTTAGCGAGTGTTCCGAATTTGTCAATTTGAACATTTGATGGTCGTTCTCCCAAGACTGTCGCCTCCGTTACTCACTCCAAGGAAAATTAGAAAAACAATTCTGATCTCAAACTTTCTCTAAATTTCTGGATAAATCTGTAGTGAAATCAAGTCAAAAACAGTGATTTAGTGGTTTTGAAAACTTTCCATAAGAAGAGCTGGAAAAATTTTGTTAATCTGCATTGCTTTCATTTTTTTTACATAGAGGCGACAAAGATAAGTTGTATTTAATGAAACAATTGCTCTTCCAGTTCAAAAAATTCAAAGCTCTCTCAAACAAAATTAATGATAGTTGAAACGATTTTCAAAAAAGGATCCCTCAACAGCTGAATTTGTATTCATTGCAACAGTTATTTTTCTTATTGGATCATTATTGAAAACCTTTTCTTAAATAAACTGGTTTTGACGAGATCCAATGATAGATGTTCTTGCTATAAATTCCATGTAATTGTAATGAGCAGGTTCATTTTCTAGATTCCTTTGCCAGTTTTGATGATTAGGTTCAGCTTTTATTGGGTATTCAGATTCTGTTCAAAATTCATCTAGTAAACAGCGAACAATTAACAATTTTCCTCACAGTTGTCAGACAGCATGTAAAGATTAGGTCTAGATCGAATTAGTTTATTTCAAACTGCGGTTTTTGGTAGTAGAAATTTTTCACAAGTAAACAAATCATTGGCAAGCTTCCAATAGAGTGAAAAAATTTTCCCTGTTCCTACGGAAACTGCTCTTCCAGAGAACGGATACATGTCAAATGTTTCCGAAAATACTTCAAAATTAGTTCCGTGACAAGCATGTATTCCTTCCTTACGCACTGCCGACGAGTTGAAATCGTTCGATACTTGTGCCTTATGACAATATAATCCATCGGCGTTTACCTAGTTTAGTAAGGTTCTGGTTCCTTAACTCAGTTATTCACTGATTTTGCTCTATACTCCGATTTTTCTTCTTTTGAAGGTTTAAGGGTAATTGAAGGTTTAAATTTAGGTGGGTATCACGCATATCCAAACAAAGAAAACGGTCCTTCTCAAATTCAAACTCAGTTACTTTCGTCTAGAGAAGTACTGGTAAAAATTTCTTGTGTGTAAGATGACACAATGGTTTCCAAAACTGGGACTTTATCAAAAACTTCCGAAAAAGAATTTGTAAAAGCTCCGAAGCCGTCTGTAAGTTCTCCAATATATGGGGCTGCGATTTCAAATGATCTGCAGATGGGACTATATACTTTTAGTAAGGTTCGAAAAATCATTATTCGAATCTTGCAAAAAATTTTGCCTGTCGTATCCCTTAGTTCAATTTTTATGCTATGAAATGATTCTTTCATTAACCCTTTAAATTGAAGTTTCGTAAAAGACTGATACTTCATGTTCTGTCTTGTAGATATCAAGTCTCCAATTTTAATTGTGGAAATGAAAAGAATACAACAAAGTAAACGAGTTTTTGTATCACCTACTATATTATATTCTATGATATCCCCATATACCATCAGGAAATGTATTCTTATAACGTTGTAAGAGTACTGAGGAAACTGTGGTCTTCTTCCACTCGTTATAACCCCTGTCTAATTTGCTTTAAATCACAGCCAAAAATGTGACTCATATCAGCACTTTAAGTCAAAAACATCGATTGATCCTCAGGTAAATGAAAGGTTATTTTTGTTTAATCTTATCTACTGATATATAAATTCCCTTAAATTCAGAATTTTGCGCACCTATACGTTTTTGAATTTTTTCATTCATAGCTACAACTTTATCACCAATACTTGCCAATACAACTCTTTTTTTGCCTCAAGTTTTCTCTCCAATCTATGAGAGTAATTTTTCCTTCAGTAACGTTTTGGTACAATGAAAGGTACGATATTTCTGAAGTAGCAACTTCCCATTCTCCTTTAAAATGTCTTTGCTCCGGTAGAAAATTGATAAAAGAGCCAAGACTTTGATTCGGACAACAATTAAAAGAAGCATTAGAAACTAGTTTGATAGTACAAGAATCCATGACTACTGATTGATAGAAAAATTTTTCAAAAAATCGTTTACCTTGATTTCAGTGCTTTATTTTGAAAAAGCTTGAAGTCTTCGGAAACTTCTGATTGGTGGACCAAATTTTGTATACGATGTCTCGATTTGTACGAGTTGTTCTACTTACTTTTTTTGATAAACCGCTCACTTCACTCAAGTTTTACGCGCAGCTGTACCCCTAGAATATTATCTGTTCAGTCCTACCTTTTCAGATTTTGAATGGGACCCATGTTCTTCTGTCTTCTGCTTTGGTATTCTTGTTGATAACAAGTTTAAGTAAAGTTTGAGTTGCTTCCGAAATCGTGAAGTAAATATGTGGAAATCGGTTCTTTTTAGCTTTAGTGCACACACAAACTATACAATAGATTCTTTTGTATCTCGATCATACAATATGATCTTTTCTGACTGGCTCAGTTTAATTCTATGAGAATTGAAAAATAAGTCAATAAGGTGCTGATTGTTACTCGTTTTCAACCTTGCATTTACACCACTGTAAAATGAATCTAAGTCTTTTGGTACATTGTCCTCTTTTTCTTGCTTTTATTCTAATTTTTGTTTCATCGGAAGGGTACTTTGTGATTGATAAATTGAGTAAGGAAATAAAAAAACTGTTCAAATCTATGTCAATCGTTTAATGACAATTGGAAAGGTAATAGACATTAATTGCAACCCTTTAAATGAACTTTAAATAATTCTTCTTTTGTTCAGAGGAGTTCTTTTTTGAGTAAATTCTGATATATTTTTCAATATTTCACTACGTCTTTTTCTCGAAGGTTCTGTATTTCTCTTCTGAATAGGTTTTTCTACTACTCGCTCAGAAATTGAATTAATTATTTTGGACATGTAAGAATGAATTGTTTTTGAAGTTTCGGGGAAAAAAGTTGAA